GTTTAAAGTACAGAGTATATATATATATATATATATACACACACACACACACGAACAGGGATTTATCTTGTTCCCATTTAAGTCTATGGTTAGATTGACTTCAGAGGGGCAAGATTTTTGGTGGAAACAGTTCTAATTCTTAGATGTTTGGTTTCATTTTTGGCACAGCTCTTTAAGAATTAAAATACCGGTAATCAATTATTGAAATAGATCATGACTCCAGTATGAGACCTACCACTTCCACTGCAAAATATACTGACCTGGCATTATCAGTAGAAATGTAAGCTATTCATTCTTTCTTCCTTAGTGACACGTTTTCTAATCTACTAATCTCTTAAATGTACAAAAAGGAAAAATCAGGAAAGTCACCACAAACACCAAGAAATTGCTCCTGCTTTTTTGTTTGTTTGTTTGTTTTATTTTTACTTCAGAACAACTCCTGTTGTCTTTCATAGGAGTTTTACCTGAGACAAAGTCTGCAAGATCAAGTCCACTACAAACAAGAAGTGGCTTTCATACTCTGTTGGAAACCCAGATATCATCAGATGAGCAAGTTCACATTACTACTTTCACATGTGCCCTGAACTTCTTAAAATGATTGTTATTTGAATGGCAACAGGTTTGCTATGCAAAGCAAGTTCATCTGCTCTACTATTGTTTGGTAAAAGCATAATTAGCTTCCCTGAATATTTTTCCTTCTCAAATGTAGTCTCTACAGGATATTATTTTTCTTTTTCATATCCAGCACTCGGTGTCTCAGTTAGTGCTGGCTTATCTACTGCAAATATAAAAGTATATATGAAATATAATCATCATATAAGCTAACAATCAGTTAGCCTCAGGCACAGATAACTACATATGTGATATGGTACCTCAAAAGCATATGAAAACATATTTTGTTTTATGTATTATAGACTTTGTCAACTGGGTTTATTGAATGGCTACATTCAATTGTCTGATATGTGAGCAATGCGTCTTTTACATATAACATTATTTAAGGTGCTATTTAAAGAAAAAAATTAAGTTTTGAACAAGTTAATGATGTCGATCACAGACATTGCCTCCAAGTTAAAAGTATGTATTGTGGGAAATCATTTTTCTCTCTTGGGCTCCCACTGCTTTTGTTACAATATACATTTGAACTAAATGAGGTCTTATTGCAAAGGACAAGGCTAACAAAGAATCCCAAGTTGCTGGTGTGCACCCCTATTTGTCAAATTATTTTTAATAGTCTGGGCCATGTTTTGATACCCTTCCTTATGTTGGGTAGCACTTTATCCCATATGCAGGCTCATTGACTTCAGTGGGACAATTTGCAGCTGAGGGTGCTACTCACCATGGCTAAAGTATCAGAAACCATGGCCCAAATTCATTTATTTAAATTCATCCAAGGATTAATTTGACCCAGTGTGCTTATTTGTTGGGAGAACCAAGGAAGGAGCCATTAATTTAAATAATGTGAAGTTTAGAGGAGCTCTGTCTAGTTTATAATAAAGAACATGGAAGTTGTTAACACACTATATTTGATGGGCAACTCTGGGCTACAATTGGGTGACATTTGTCTTTTAAACTTAGGTACAAGATTCCTGTGGCCCATTCAGATCTTCACCTCTGCTTATTTATGTCAATAATATACAGTACACCAAGATTTTCTCAACACGAAAAAATGGCTACAAAATGAAAATACAAATGTGTACATTTTGGACAAGGCACTTAGGAGCCCCCAATGGCCTTTGGGTAATGAATTGCAAAGAAATACCAATTCTTTCTCTGCATAAGCACAAAGACAAGTGCTTTATCATATTCACAAAAAAATGAGTCTACTGGAAACGAAACTAGTGATATGCATTAGCAAGAGGGTTGTTAAATTAAGATGAGATGAAAGCGCTTCACAAGTTGAGAGCTCACCAGCTTCCTAGGGATTCTGAAAAAATACAGCACATGCAGCTAGTAGTTACCTGCAGATTTAGAACTAAAGTCTGTGTTCTGATATATACATCCTCCCTCCCCACCCGCCAACTCCCACTGAAGTCAAGATGCACATGCCTGAGGGTATATTAGGCCTTGCAGCGTAAACTTGTACTGTCCCTCTCTATGTCTGTTCTTCCCTACCACAAGTTGTTTATCAGCATACAAGGAGTTCTACTTTTGTTGCAGTGGGGACCATTAGAAATGATCATTTATTGCAATGTTTGCAGTATTCTCTTTAATTAGAATGTGAGATACTAGAAAGGGTGGTAAGTGCCTAATTTTTAATGGTACCCAGTAGAGGGAAGTTTAGAGTTTACCTTCCCCTTTATTAGATGCCCTTCATAAGTGGTTTAAACTCCTATTAGTGTCAGTGGGAATTACATACATTCATGATTCCAAGGCCCAAAGGGACCATTGTGATCATCTAGTCTGACCTCGTATAGAACACAAGCCATAAAGCTTCCTCAAAATAAATGGATGGGTGAGTTGAATAGAGTTTGACAACACTTATTAATATTAAAGGCAATGGCATACATCCACAGAAAGGCACACGTTTTCTAGCTGGCTTCCCATCAAAGTACTACCCACCCCAGGACTGAGATAAGAGAAGATTAAGTGCATTCAATCCAGTATGGTCATTGGATTATATAACCACAACTGGATATAAATTCTATGTATTCATGAAGGGGGAAACATCTGCTGATGTCAGCAAGGAAGGGAAATTTTAAAACAATATTACTTTCGGAAAGGAGCACTTTGTCACGGTATGAATATGACAGGCTGGAATCTCCCAAGAACTGAGCTATGTAACTAGGCAGTCTTTAGTGGGGCTTCCTTGTGGCTCAGCCTGGAGCCACTCAACCTTTCAGTGGAAACATCAATTACTCAAACTCAGCTCGGGCCCAGGCTCAAATGATTCCCAGCAAACAGTCAACAAAATCTTGTGCTGATAAAGACTCCAGGAATCCTCACCCTAATTAATGCATGGGGTAAATAAGAGCCATTTCAAATTAAATGGGCCTCCCATCCTTGCAGGCCCTCCATAATAACAAAACCTCTTCCATTAAGGATTTTAGCAAGTGATCAATGAACACTCAGACTGGAAATCACTGGTGCCTATTGGAGTGTTTACACGTGTGGCAATTTAGCTAAAGTGATGTATGAACTAGGTAGTATGCTGTTGGGATTCTCAGAACCTTGTAGGCTTTTTTAACATGTGAACGCTCATACTGTATTTTGCAAATTCTCATCTTCCCTGTTTACATAAAAGGTCTGCAAGGAATGTGATGAAGTTGATGCAGTTGTCAACTGGCTCCGATTCTCTTCTTCCATCTGGGGAGCATTTTTGGCTGCTGGGGCATGCAATCGGTGAGCATCTAGCATTTCCAGCAATAAATCATAAAGCGGGACTACATTTTTGCACTTCATGTTGTATAGGTGCTCCATCCCTTTATTGCTGTGGATTGCAATGAAAACAAAGTCAGAGGACACTCCATAATGAGATGCCACTCCATAATATTTATAGTGATTGCCATTAAAAAGCCACCATCTGGCAACAGTTATTACACAATGATACCTAAGATATCACAGCTTCCCCCACAAAGTGTTGGCTTTTAATGGTAATCGTGTATCCAGCCCATAAACTACCAAATCAATGATTGTCAGACTTACCATAACAAGAAAAATAACTTAAAAGTTTACAAAAGTAAAAAGAACAAACAAAAACAAAAAACCAAACCAAACCACCACTCTTTGCCTGAACGTTTAGATCAGTTCTGGGAGGAAAAAAAATTAGGGATTGTTATTGACCCTTTCACCACCCACATTTGTAACTTTAGTGACGCTTGCCACTATTTTAAATGCCACTTATGTAGTGGGATGAAGGAACCCTAACTCCATTCACCAGCCAACCAGTGTGCTTTGGCACCTTAAAAATAAACAGTTTAGAACTGTTTAGAACTGTCAGATTTCTAACACTTCAGCTATAAGGTATAGGAGCCCAATTTCACTTCAAGAACTGAATAACTGAATTGATCAGGGTTGTGTCCCTCGCCTCTGTTTGCCAGAAGCTGGGAATAAGCGACAGGGGATGGATCACTTGATGATTACCTGTTCTGTTCATTCCCTCTGGGGCACCTGCCACTGGCCACTGTCGGAAGACAGGATACTGGGATAGATGGACCTTTGGTCTGACCCAGTAGGGCTATTCTTATCTTATAGACCTTTTGCTTAGACTAAGAGTAAATTAAATTCTTCAAACACATCACCTCTGTTAATTATTATTAAAAATCATGGAGATAGAGTCTGAATCCCCTACTTTGATATTGCCTGTCCCTATCAATGTGAGTAGGGGTTGCAGAACTGGGGTGTTATATACTGTTGCAATTTCCTCGGTATGTTATAAACAGAATAAGACATTGTGTATAACACAACAACAATCAGGTCCTGCCTCCACCATCAGACCCATTTGCAGTATAGTGACACCAGAAGCAGAGGAACCATAAAGAGCACAAGAAACAAATAGTGTTAGGGACAGTTTCCCCTCCCACATGATATTAAGCAGAAGGGCTGTTTGTATTTCAGAATTATGGGCCACACTGTGACACCCTCATTCACACTGACTAGCATGTTGCCCCACAAGTAGTCTATGAAGGAAAAGACCACTTGTGGAGTAAGTTACTATTCAACATGAGTTTATCAGAATCTGGCTCTATCAACAGAGCAAAACCTTCCCTGAATGCTGAACTTTGCATAGTTGCCTTGTACAATGGAAGAAGGCTGCATGTGCACTCTCTCACCTCATGTGCCTGATGTGTGAGAGTATGAGGAGGAGCTGAGCCAGTCGTCTGTGTTGCTGATCTGGAGAGAGACCCGACTTGGCCATTAAATGAATCAATGTATCTGTGATTTTGTCCAGAACACGATGAATATGCTCCTTCTCTTCCAAAGATTTCAAGGTGCTGGAAAGAAATGTATACACACCTGGGGGGGGGGGGAGAACAACACAAAGAGAGATTAGATTTTCATAGCTACAGTCTCATAGACTGGTATCTTAAGAGGCCAGAAGAGGCATGAGAGCCAACCGCACTGTGAACTTTGTCTGTAACCTCTTACTGCCAGAAGAGATCTATCTAAAGAGAACATGGCTAAGGAAAGAATGGAGGTTTCTCTAAAATGACAATGGTGAGAATCAGGAGTGGACACATTGGTCTAGATGAAAAACAAAACAATGGGTATACTCAGAAATTATTATACAACCCAAACTGCAAATATGAGTAAGAAACAATAATCAGTTTTCTTGTTAAGCCTCCTCTACTCCTGCTGCTTCAGCTCCCAGAGATTATCATCAAACAGTGGTGGCTTTCATGCACAAACCAACCCAACTTCCCCCCGCGCACACACAAAAAGAGGATATGGTGAAAGCAAACTGATTGGCACTTTGGTTGGAGTCCTTTGTGCTGTACCTAGAATAAAACAAGGTAGAAAAATGTTTCGGCATGAGGAAAAGTGTTTCTCATAAATGCACATACTGTGGGATAACCAAAGTGACTGAAAGGGAAAATTGCCCTGCACCCTTAATCCCACCTGCTCCATGTTTTAGGGTCTCTGGCTATTTCAAAGAATCTTTTTTTCCCCCAGGCAAGTGATGCTATTAGGTCAGTTATTGTATTGTTCAAACAAGATGGGTGGGGTTTGTGAAAGACTAAACTCCATTCTTTATAAATTCCAAGCCACACACTTTCATAAACAATCCACAATAAAATCTAGCACTTGCAGTTTACTATTTCTTTCAATGCAGACTGATAGCACTGGTGCAATCTGAAAATAAACCAGCAGTCAGTGTAGTAGTGATGACAGCATCTGGAGAAACAGTCAAGTGGAACTGGAGATAATGGGCCAGATTATGAGTTCAGTTACTCCAGGTTTAAACCCAAGTAAGAGATCAATTTACTATAGTTATAATAAATTTCCCACTTTCCTTGCTCCATCATGCTGTGTATTACACCTCATTGAGTAATTGTGTAATCTGTTTGAAGTTACTCCTGTCCCCACCTCTACTGTCTTGTCATCTCCTAGTCCCTCACATTTGTTAGCTGTTTGGTACAGGGACCATGTTTTCCATCTGTATTGAGAGGCATCTAGAGCTCCTTTGGACACCATTAGAAATAATTGTATTAATAATAATGACCGTAAGTGTAATTCTGTTGATTTCATTGGCATTAACACCAGAGTAAGTGAGATCAGAATCTATCCTACTGACCGAGAACAGAACAGCTATTACAGTGTGGCCTCTGGAAGGGAGCAGTTGCAGCTCTTCCTTTTATTCGTTTGCCTGCACTGGACTATTGCTATGAAGTTGTTTTAGAAATATGAAGCAGTGACTGCTTGTCCTAGATCATTTTTCAGACTGGAGCAATTCCATTGAAGAGAACAAGGGCCTTAGACCTTTCTTAGCCAAATGATTTTCAACCCTCCACACATCCATGCTACTAACAGGTTTTATGGTTTAGCAATATTCTAGAGGGACTAATTTCCTAATTCTGACTCATTGGGCTTAATCCATTAGTGGGAAATGTTTTCATAGTCCCATAAGTAGCACCAGCACAGCTCAGCTTGGCCAGGGGATACTGCCATGTGTTATGAATACTTTAGGAATTCCTCCTAGTTTCAGAGTTCTAAAACCCTCTCAAAAGGAAGGAGTCCTGCCAGGTCTCACACTTCTTTAGCATAGGAGCCACAGAAGAGCTTTGTTTAAAAATATCGAAACAAACACCCAAAAAATGCCCAAAGACTTGGACAATTGGCAACCCATACTAATTAAATGTTGAATGAAAGACAGCTAGCGGTTATCTCACTGCTGCCAGGTGACTACTGCTGCCTTTCCTCACTGAGCAGGCATTTCAGAAACAGGAATATCAGCTGTTCATCACTAGAAAGAAGGGCTGCTGCCTTCAGAAAAGTTCGCTCAGCAAGGCAAGACCTGGCTGCCTTAAAGCAGTCTCGAAGCCCTGAAGCAGAAAATCTAAGATTAAGTAAGTACCTTCAAAACTGTTTTCTTTCAACTCTGTATAACAATCCAATATCCTGAACATCATGGAAGGAGAGCCACAGGGAAAACCACAGCCACTGCAAGGGTAAGGCCCACATTCTGTGCCAATAAGGCAAAGCTGTGCTTCAAATGGATTCGTGGAGGGGGCTAAACAGTATGTTACCATATATGCTGTTGGCAAATGGTAATGACAGACTTTTTGGATGCTATTGTTGAGGAGAAAGCCCATTTCACCCTTTCTAGAGCCACACAAATGGAGTGTAAAGTGTCTGTTCAGCCTTGGAATCCGAAGACCACTACTGGCGATTCAACATCCCACCCTGCATGTTTCATCTGTTACAAGACATGATGACCTAGATCAGTGGTTTTCAACCTGTGGTCCACAGTCCCCTGGGGGTCCGCAGACTGTCTAAGATTTCCAAAGGGGTCAGCACCTCCATTTGAAACTTTTTAGGGGTCTGCAAATGAAAAAAAAGGTTGAAAACCACTGACATATAAGAATGACTCAGTGGGAAAGGATGTTTAAAATCCACGATATCAATGGCAAAGAACAACAGGTGGTTATGATGTCCCATACGAAGCCATCCACCAAGTGGTTTTAAGGCTGTATAGTACTCTCCCTGAAGTATTCATACAACTAACTCAGTTCTGTCAGTCTCCATAGGCAAACCAATTAAATTAATTTTCTGCCTAGACAGAAATAACACCACATTGGTTTCCAGAGATAAAGGGTGATCACTTTGCCACATACCACTGATCCTTTTATCAGATCCAATCCAACAGCAAGAACTCCGATTATGTTGCTGCCTTTGTGTTTCTGGTGCTTGTTCTCCTTGACCCCAATGGTAAGGAAGAGCCCTTGAAGCACTGCACTGCTGAACTGAATGTGCTTTTCAAAATACAGCTTTGTTTTGTAGCTGAAGGGTTTATTTCGTTTTCTGCAGCCCTGGAGGGACAGATTCTGTTTTGTTATTGAAACGGCAGCATTGTCCTAGTTATAAGAGACAAGCTGTCGCCATGGTATCTTGGGAGAAATTCACAAATGGTATCAATATAGTGTATCTTGCAGTGCAAATACAAACTCTCACTTCTCCATACAGAGGGAGAGAGGCTTTAAGAAAAAAAAGTCACTTTAACTTTTTTCTGATTAAGGCCACAGGGAAAGAAAGAAGTTACAAGAAACAGTGAAAAGGGACAGAGACCTGATTGGTGGTGGAGGAATTGTGGAATTAGATATTATAGGATGATATTATCAAGGAATCCTCATCATTGAAGGTTTTTAAGAACATGTTGGACAAACACCTGTCAGGGATGGTCTAGAATTACTTAGTTCTGCTATAGCATAGGGGGATGAACTTGATGACTTCTTGAGGTCCCTTTCCTGACCTATATGTCTACAATTAATCTCAATATTCTCTAATGTGACCATGCACTAAAAATTCCAGGAAAAGGAAAGTGTTCTAGACTTAATACAAATCATTTGTCTGGTGCAGTAAATCTACACAACACCTTGGAAATACAATTTAACAGATTAGATTTGAGATTGATTTTAAATATTTATGGCTAATTCAAATTGGCTGAAAACACATTTAAATCCTCTTGAGATCAACTGTGTTTGTTCCATGTATATGTAATTTGTGTAACATGGTTCTCAATAAGTTTTTCCAAGATTTGTGTGTGCATTTTTCATCTGCTCTTGCTATGTGAGATTCATGTGTATTTTTATAGGTTATTTTTCCAAATATAATGTCTGTATGTTTTCTGTATATTTTCCACAGGAATCCCATCTCCTTCTGCATACAGGGAATGAGGTAGCTGTAAATTATTTCTTTTTATCCTCCTCATTCAATGTGTGGCCACAGGCATGATTTACCACACACGAAGTACAGAATTACTCATTTCTTTTTCTATTACACTTACCATAGTAGTTTAAGTGCATCACAAATATTCATTAATTTATCTTTATGACATCCCTGGAGAGAGGGGGAGTTTTTAAAGATGGAGAATTGAGGCAGAGAGAGATTAAGGGCAAAATTTGCAAGCATTTTTTGTGGGTGGCTCAATCACTGGACAGCCAGCTTGAGACACTGAAAACCTGATTTTTCCACAGAATACTTAGCATTTTTTAGCACTTTATATGTTTTCAGCACTGTACAGATAATTCATCATCACAACACCCCTGTGAGGTAGGTGGGTGAAATACTATGACCCCATTTTATAGATGGGGAAATTGAAACGCAAAGTGACTTGCCTAGGTTTCAAACACAGGGCCTCCTTTCTCCTAAGCCATGTTCATTCCTCAGACCATACTGCAAGGGGTTTTAAGAAGCTGCAGCTCTCACTCAATTGATCTGCAGTTGCGAGAGCTCAGCACTTTTGCAAATCAGGCCCAGGAGTCTCAGGTTAGGCACCCATAAAATTAACAGTTCGTGACCACCTGGGAAAACTTTGGTTTAAGAGACTTTCCCAGCATCACACAAGAACTCTGTGGCAGAGGCAGGGATATAATCCAATTATTCAGGGTGGTATTTAAGAGCTTAACCACCATGTTATCCTTTCTCTTTCTGTGGCCCATTACCTTTTTCTCTACACACATTCCGGCAATAAACAAGCAACAGGAGTCTTACAGACACCTCTATACAACCCTAATTCATTCCCAAAGCACTGGCCATCCTAGGCATTGAATGAGGTAGAGACCTGTGGAAAAACCAGTATGTGATTGTGTAATTAACAAATGAACCATAATGTGTACACACAAGAGGATCTAAACCATCCACAAAAAAGTGACATTGACCTGAGGTGAATTCTGGGCAATATTCACTCCTGGACCTGATTAAAGTTCTGATATCTCACAGCCCAGTATAACTAGGAGGTGGGGGAGAGTGTATGAAGTTTTGCTACATGTATTTCCAAAGGACACACAGCATATGCT